CCATATGACCTTGATCAGATGGGCTGAAGGACCAAGGAATGGCTGATGAAATTTAATTTTGATAAATGTGAGGTCCTGCATTTTGGAAGGGCAAATTAGGGCAGGACTTGTACAAATAATGGGAAGATCCCAGGGAGTGTTGCGGAACGAAGAGACCTTGGGTTACGGGTTCATAGATCTTTGAACATAGAGGTGCAGGTAGGCAGGGTGGTGAGGAAAATGTTTTGTATGCTTGCCTTTATTGGTTAGTGCATTGTGTACAGGAATTGGGTTATCGTGTTGAGGCTACAGGACTTTGTTTAGGCCACTTTTGCAATATTAAATTAAATTCTGGTCTCCCTGCTATAGAAAAGATTTTGTTAAACTTGAAAGAATTCAGAAAAGATTTACAAGGACATTGCTGCATTCAAAGGTTTGAGCTATAAGGAGAGGCTGAATAGGCTGGAGCTATTTTCCCAGAAGTGTCGGAGGCTGAGGGTGACCTTATAGAAGTTTATGAAATCATGAGGGGCATGAATTGGGTGAATAGCCAAGGTCTTTTCCCCAGGGTAGGGGACTCCAAAACTATAGGGCATAGGTTTAAGGTGAGAGGGGAAAGATTTAAAAGGGTCCTAAAGGGCAACTTTTTCATTTGAGGATGGTGTGTGTGTGGAATGAGCTGCCAGAGAAACTGGTGGAGGCTAGTACAATTACAACATTTAAAAGGCATCTGGATGAATACATGAATAGGAAGGGTTTAGAGGGATATGGATCAAATTCTGGCAAATGGGACAAGATTAATTTAGGATATCTGGTCAGCATAGCTGAGTTACACCATCTGTTTCCATGCTGTGCAACTCTTTGACTCTATGAAGTTACAGTGTTATTAAAAGATGTGAAACTAGCTGGGTCAAGCATCAAGAAATTGACACCTCCTGTTTTAATTTAGATCTGTAGGATAAGTTGTACATGTTAGACATGAAAGATTACCTGCAACTATACAGCTTGCAAAGACGATGGAGACAGACTCAGGAATATAAAAATAAATCATATTTCTATAACTGCTGACCAGAGCAAGTAAATTATTAGGAACAGTGAGGATTGGGTGACTCTCTCCCTTTCCTCAAAAGCCAGCATCAGTGATAAAACAAATTGGAAAACCATCTAGAGAATTCAATGTTTGCACAATTTTTTCTATTGCTGAAGATGCAAGACATCAACTAAACAGCTGTGGTCTCAGGAACTGCAGGGGTACAATGTGGCAGCTAACTAACATCTTCTCAGATGGGAACGGGCATTAAATGCTGACTTTTCCAATGATTTGTAAATCTTGTGATTGGTATTTTACAACAGTCCTTCTTTCAAAACTGATATCATACCTTCTTTAACAAGCTGACCCTAAATATCCCTGCTCTTCCCAATTGCTGTCCAGTAATAACCTCCACTCTCAAGACTTGTTACTAACTCCAATTTCACCAATTTCAATTTGAACCTGTCAGTGAGATTCTATATGACTCAAAATGTAGAATTTTGTCTAAAATCTTCACCCTTTCTGTGCTTGACCAACCATTATATTTATATCCCATGTCCCCTGTGTGGCCTACCTACATGATACCACTGTCTGATGGTTTGACTCCTCTATGTGTCAATATAATCAATGCATCATTAGCAATCACTGTGAACTCCACTGCAGTTGGTCTCCTCCTATTCATTGCTTGCTTGCTGCCTCTTGGAAAGATATTCATGACAAGAGAAGGAATCAGAAAGCCAAAATTGTGTGTTATGTTTTTATTGCTTTGCACGGGATTTGAATACATTCCGAGATCAGAAGGATGGAGTCATGAAGTTCAGTAATACTCAGCTTCTCCCATATTTGTCTCAACTCTAAATTATTATATTATTCCATTACTAGTCCAATAACAAGTCATGGACAAGAGAAAACTCCCAGTATTAGTTCATGAATTCTACACATACTGGTTCCAAGATTCATCTGTTATAGGCCATGCTGTAACTTAGGTGGGAAATTCTCTGCCTGGAGCAGTCAACTCAAAGAACCTATAGCAGCTTTCTCAGTACAAATTACTGGGTTGGCTCTATGGCACAGTGTCTCATAGCTCCAGAGACTTAGGTTTGATTCCAGCCTTGGGCTGTCGTATGTGTGGAGTTTGCACGTTCTCTCTGTGTCTTTGTGGGTTTCCTCCAGGTGCTCTGGTTTCCCTCTACAGTCCATGGATGTGCATGGTAAGTGGAATAGCCATGTTAAACAAGAGGTTAAAGAGATTAGGTGGAGCCATGGGCCTGCATGGAACGCTGTTTGGAAGGTCAGTGCAGATATGATGGGCCAAATGACCTCTTTCTGTACTGCAGGGATTCTATGATTGTAAACTTTGGCACTGGTTTGTGTGCACAAATCTGATGGGAAAAAAAATGGGTTTGCATCATTTGATAACCTGCTCTCAAACAACTATTACTGAAATGAATTAAGATCTTTGCTGGCTGATTTCATAGATTACATGTCAGACAAAGATGAGTTATTTTCAATACAGCTCAGAATTGATATCAATTGGAATGTTTATAATATCACTTGAGGGAATATACCAATAAGCAAGTAATCATAGGTTGAACATTTGGCCAGCAGCCAATGCACACAGTTTACAACAAGTCGTGAGAGTGTGGCAAAACTTTTATTATGAATCTGTTTGTTGAGATATCCTGTAATAAAGCTTCAAATAAACAGAACCTGCAAGTGGTTTACCTGGTATGAGATTGGTATATTTGTACTAAGCAAACATGGCAAACCCGAAAAGAATGTACTGTCTGAAAGGTAGATGTGAGCAGATCCAACAGTGCCTTTCAAAAGGGAACTAAATAAATACTGAAAAAGGTGGCAGAGCTTGACAGTGCAACAAGTTAGAGATCTTTCAAAGAACTGCCAGCATGACAGCAATGGGCTGAATGGTCTCCAGCTGCACGATTTCACTCTGATAATTAACCATGTAGAACAGGGCAGGCCGTATCTTCATTTCTGCTCTGTGTTTACTTTGCTGAAGACTTGAAAAGGAGATGCCAAAATTCAGCCCTGCACCTTGTTGTCTCGGATTCTCCAGCATCTGCAGTTCCTACTATCTCTGATTCAATTTTAACCCCACTGCGAAGCCTCTTCTAAGGATGCCTAACCTGAAGAAGTTACCCTCCTCCCTCCGGAATCCCTCTTCTATCCGCCTCCCACTCTCTCCCTATTTATTTCAAAACCCCCTTCCCCTCCCCCTTTTCTGATGAAGGGTCTAGGCCCGAAACGTCAGCCTCTCTGCTCCTATGATGCTGCTTGGCCTGCTGTGTTCATCCAGCCCTGCACCTTGTTGTTTCGGATTCTCCAGCATCTGCAGTTCCTACTATCTCTCCTTAGTTCATTCACCTGTTTCCTGCTCCTTATCCCCACCTAATGGCTTTGTTTCTTCATAACAAGAGGAGGAATCAAAAAGCTGTAGCCTCGGTTGATTTTAATCTCTTTGTAAAAGATCTGAATACAATCTAAGGCTACATGAGGAGTAACTTATTAGGCACAAGTTGATGCATAGGAAAGTCTAGATTTTAGAGGGTTTCTTGGCCATTTTACAAAATATGAAACAAATTGTTAAACTTTTATAAGAGTGAACAGTGAGTGCAGTCTCTGCAGAAGTTTGCAACTAACACTGTTTGATTATTTCTACAATGCCCTGTTGTTGCTTGTATTTTCATTTGCCTTGAAGCACATATTTGATGTTGACATGTTCAGGCCTGCTTTCTATTGTAACCACTGCCATGGCTGCAATTTGAAAATAACATTTTAGAACCAAGCAAACAAAAGGACAGTCAAGAATCACAGGGTCTGGTTTCCACATTCAGCAAACAGGTGACGCCAGGAGGTTTCTTGTCGATGTGTTTAGAATTCTTACAGATGCTGAAAATTACTCAAAATTTTGCAATGTCATAAATCTGAGAATACATTCTCCGTTCACCATTTCAGCTGAGGTGTCCACAAGGACAGGTTAAATGTTTACCTCTATAGAGGAACATTTCAAAATACTCATGAGGGGCATTGATAGGGTGAATAGCCAAGGTCTTTTCCCAAGATAAATAAGTCCAAAACTAGATAGACTTAAGAAGAGAGGGGAAAAATTTAAAAGGGGCCTAAGGGGCAATTTTTCAGGCAGAGGGTGGTGCATACATGGAAATGAGAGAGTGCCAGAGAAAGTGGTAGAAGTGGCGCAATTACAACATTTAAAAGGCATCTAGGTATATGAATAGGAAGTGTTTAGAGGGATATGGACCAATGCTAGAAAATGAGACTAGATTAATTTAAGATATCTGGTTGGCATGTATAAAGGCGTTGTTTCTGTGCTGTACAACTCTACGACTATAACAACCATTACTTGTGAGTCAGGCTGTGATGTAACTGACTGACAGGCACTCACTGTCCTGTAATTCAGAGGCTTTATAGCTGAAGAATCAAAGCCATATGTAATTTTCAGGTAAAGTGTGTGTTCAGTCATAAGAGATAGTGCAGAAATCAATTCGAATTTTAAATTTCTACATTCTGCCCGTATTTTATATAATACTTCAATTTTACATTGTTAGCATTATATTGCAAAGTTTAACACTTTTTGGAAGTTAGAGTTGGGTAGAGTAAAAAGAGTTTCTTTTTTCAGTGGTTAATGGTCAATTTGGTCAACCATGTCAAAAGCTGCAGAGAATCAGCAGATACAGAAGTGGGGATCTATTAGTACTACTAGTGATTGGACGATGTGATTACAATGTGACAAGTTTACCTAGATAGTTACCATTGTAAAGAAGACGTTGGAATTTATATTGGAAAAATTAAATAGAAGTGACACAAAAATCTAATAACAGGAACTGCACGTACATGTAAGCTTTTAAAAATATATTGTAGATTACTTATTAAATCTGTGCATTTTCCTTAATGGATAAAGAAGCAGTTTTACTAATGCAAGGAATATTCTGTTTTGCTTGTATTCTAACAGATTTCCCGCCACAGTTTGATGAAAGTGATCAAGCTGAGATGATGTCATTTCGAAGTGAGCCCTACATCAAGCACTATATCCCGGCAATGCCTTTATGTAGCTTTCCACATGGGTCCACTTCTCTCCCCCCATCATTGAAAAGCAACAGCTCCATCGTATCCCTTCCATACAGGTCAGTTTTCGGTGTTGTAGAAATAAAAAAAAATTGTGTTGAGGAGAGACCAAGGTCCATACTGTTCATCTTCTACCACTGTGGTGGTTGTTATGATAATGTGGGTAGATGTTTCTTAATCACTGCAGTTAATCTTGATCAATTAATTGGCAACAGACTCATTGAAGACAGAAATGATGGAATATTCTTGGATGAGTGCATTGAAAATGCTCAATGTACTCAACATAATCTAGAACAATGTCACCTGCTTAATTTGCACTCCAAACACCACCTTCAACATTCATTTACTTTGTCACAGTTGCAGCAGCGTGTCCTGTTCACAAGATGCACTATAGTAACACACCAAGTGTCTTTCAACAGCACCTTCCAAACCCATGGCCTTTATCGCCTAGAAGGAGAAAGGGCAGCACATGCTATGGAGTATCACCACCTGCATGTTCCCCTTCAGTTTACACATCATCCTGACTTGGAGCTATATTGTTTATCCTTCAAATGCAACTCCCTTACTACCAGAACTGAGAATGCACTTACATCATATGGAATACAGCATTTCAATATTGCCGATCCACCTCAAACCTTCTCAAGGGCGATTCCGGATGGTCAATAAAATCTGGCAATGTCAGCAGTGCCCAAATCTCTTGAAAGAATTTTAAGAAAGCTTAACTTGTATTTATAAGATGCGTTAACATAGTAAAATGTCCCAGAGTTGATTCACAGTAGCATTATCAAACGAAGTTAAATATTTGGGGATATTTGGTGGGTGACGTCAAAGAAGTAGGTTTTAAGTAGTATTTTAAAGGAGAAAACAGAGAGATATATGTTGAGTCTTAGGGAGGTAATTCCAGAATTTAGGAACACAGCCAATGGCGAAACAATTAAATCATAAATAATCAGGAGGCTGGAATCGGAGGAGCACAAATGTCTCGGAGGACTGTAGGACCTGTAACAGTGGACATAATTATGGACATAAGGAGGCAAGAGACTATAGACAAATTTGAAAATGAAGAAAAGCATCTTAATACTCAGATGTTCAACCAGGGGCCAATGTAGCCAGTGGGCAGAGGGATGATGGATGAACTAAACTTGATGAATAGGGGTCTGGGCAGGGACTTGTTGGAGGGCAAGACTAGAGGCAACAAACACACTAAAAGATGAGCGTTTCATCCACAAATGACCCACAGCATGGGCGAAGTAGTGAAATATAAAGGCCGGAGCATAGTATGGATATACAATCAGATTCTCACCTCATGATCAGAAATGAAACCAGGATTGCAAACAATCTGGTTCAGTTTTAGACAGTTGGCAAGGAGAAGATAAATTTGGTGATTAGATGATAGAATTTGTGATGGAGTTCCCAATATATAGTTGGAGTAACTTTAACTTTATCTTCATCTAACACAGGATGTCAAACAACAGTGTGGTAATTTAGAGGTGGAAGAGTTGTCAAGAGACCTGGTGCTGACTTGGAGCTGTTGGGGTCAGTTAGCTAGGTGGCTAGTCTGTGATGCAGAGCAATGTAAACAGCACAGGTTCAGTTCCTGCACTAGCTGAGGTTACTGTGGAAGTTGTGCCTTTTCTACCTCACCTGAGCTTTGGTGACCTTCAGGTTAAACTCACCACTAGCTGTAATGAGAAAGCAGCCCTAAGGACCTCTCGGACTACGTCAAATTCATAGGGTCATATGTCATGGAAACAGATCCTTAGTCCCACCTCCGTGCGCTTGGCCCATTTCCCTCCAAACACTTCTTATTCATGTACTTATCTGAATGCCTTTTAAACGTTGTAACAGCACCCGCATCCACCACTTCCTGTGGAAGTTTGTTCCACACATGAACCACTCCCTGTGTTAAAAAAATTGCCCCTTGTGTCTTTTTAAAATTTTTCTTTTCTCACCTTAAAAATATGCCCCCTAGTCTTGAAATCCCCAACCTTAGGCAAAAAACACCTGTCATTTACCTTATCTTGACCCCTCATGATTTTACTTGGCTTGAAACTGACATTACCAATGTAATAGTGCTAATTAAAACCATTGTATATGGAGTGTATCACTAGGAAGCAGCTTGGGGTAAGAAATAGGGGAGTCTTAATTGTATCTTAAGGGAGCACTGGAGGTATTGCAGGTGATACTCTGGTGACATGTGTAAGAATGGTACCAGGTGTTTGCATTCCATACAGCTGCACAATGGTCGATTTGGTCAACCATGTCAAAAGCTGCAAAGAGATAATGTGGGAGCCAGAAGAGAAATTCGGTGATCACCAGTTGCACAGAATAGGGTTCAAGGATCAGTCTCAATGTCAAGATGGGGTTGCAGAGTGTGAGTGCAAACAGAAGAGAGAAAACTATGGGCTCAGGACAGGGGCAGGGTGTGCCTTGGAGGAGACAGGCTTTGTTGGCTAAGAAAAATGTGGGATGTAGCCGAAGCAGTCAATTCGATGGTCTTGATCTTGGAAATGATTAAACCCTATATGTGGTGGAAAATTTGGGAACTGTGACCTAGAATTTCACATCTGAATGATGAGACCTTGAGGTATCTCCAACCTTGGACCTTGGAGCTCATTTCCATGAAGAAAAGAGATTGAGTCATTATGTCATTTAGGCAAATTAGGGAGGCAGTGACTGAAGCATGCTGCAATTGATAGTTAGAGACATGTGCAGACACTCCAGCCATACTCCAGGACCTTGCATCCTAAATGCCCATGGAATTCACTGCCTCCGTGAACAATGCTTATGTTATTGCTGTTAGCACAGGTTACTGCTAAGCTGGCCATACAGCAGGTCATTTTTTGTTTTCCTCAAAATGAATGGTGGACCCAACAGAACTTTAATGAATCTGGGATGAATTAATTGACACTCACTATCTCAGTTTCCAACAAGGGGCTCACCTGACTTTCAGGCACACCCTAAGCCTTTTGGGGGAATCTCTTGACATTGGGATCTGCCAGGAACAGGGGAGCTCAGTATCACCATGCAGGATGTTTCAGTCTTTCCACCCAGTTAGGAGTTTGAACCTCACAGCATATGCACAATAGCTAGATTGCCTGATCAAGGGGATGTCCATTTGCAGAGTGAGTCATTCTCATCCTGAGACTGAGGGGACAGTGTGTAGGAGAAGCTCCTGGTACTCTGGCCGTTCGGGAGAGGGAGTGGTGGTTAACCTGTGAGTCTGCATAAAAGTACTCCTTGAGAGATTTGACCGGAGTAATCAAAATCATAAAAGTCTCCAGACAGAGTGAATAAAGAAAAACTATCACTGATGGAAGGACTGAGAATAAGTGGGCACACGTTTAAGGAAACTGGCAAAAGTAGCAATGGAGACATGAGGAAGTTTATTTTCATGCCGTGAGTGGTTAAGATCTGGAATGGGCTGCCTGAGAGTATGGTGGAAATGGGTTCAATTGAGACATTCAAGAAGTAAATTAGATTATTTGAAAGAAGTAGAATATACAGGATCACAGGGAGAAGGTGGGGGAATGGTTTCAGGTGAATACACAGGATTGCAGGGAGAAGGTGGGGGAATGGTTCTAGCTCAATTGCTAATTTCTCCTCACTCATTGTTACCACTAAGTGCGGATCAGTTCTTCTTCTTTCAGCATCCTCTGTTGGCCATGACAGATGTTTAATGGTCTTTTTAGCACTCAACTATACCCCTCATCAATAAAAATGTGGTCAACTTTTTCAACTGAAACAATTAAGGAGCCAATTACAAGGATTTTTGAATAATAATCAAATCAATTTTATTAGAACAAGGGAAGAAATGCTTGCAGAAGAGCCAGCAGAATAATTAAGGCCAGTGTTCAGGTTATAAATATTTATAAGGAATCCAGACCAAAGGAAAGAAAGCATGTCCAGTGTAGAACAAGCAGCTCTCTAACTACAAGAAGTTGAATTACTTTGTGCACAAGTATGTAGCTTGAAGGAAACAAAACGATCCTATAAGAATGGCAGCTGCTTTTAGCTAAATGACTGCAGATACAATAGTATCTGGTTTAAGGTGGATTAAAAGCTTCTGACTATTGGAATGATGAAAGCAGAAGGTGCGCATTAAATGAACATGAAGTAGCAGATAGATGGCATTGCTTTGTGGAAGATTGTGAACTTCTCAGACCTTTGCAAAGTGACGCGGGATAATCACCCTGTAATGAAGCTCTCACAGGTAAAGTTGAGATCATATGATAGAATGACTGTCAGCCCCAGAGGACAAATGGAGCGGAGAGCCCAGCGAAATGTGAAAAATTAAAATCTGGAGTTTCAGACAGTTTAGACGTTCATCTGAGCTTGGAATGGTAGCAGTGCATGTGCCAGAAGGGATTTGCAGCACCTAGTAAACCACACTACGCTATTGACTGCCAACCAGAAGAGGTTATAAAGATGGCTTTTTTCAGGTTGTAGATGTCTTCCTGGTGAAAATCCATCAAAGCGGATGAGAGTGGGAGACCAACTTCGCATCTGCTGAGGAGAGTTCCAGCTGCCCTCAATCCAGCCCAAAAGACAAGATAGAAGAGGTCAAAAAGAAGGGCTTGATCAAGAAAGTGATAATTCCTACCAACTGAATTAGCAGTATGGAAGAGGACTGGAAACCTGGCAACATGCATAGATCCAAACAATTTCAGTAAAGCTTTGAGGTGATCTCCCTACTTCACATCAACCGTTGAATAAATGTTGCCAGAACAAAAATTCTTTTATTACTCCGAAAGTGAAGGATGGTTACTGGCAAGTGGAGCTGGGTGAAAGCAACAATTTTCTAATTAAATTCTGAATGCCATTCAGGAGCACAGATGGTTTTGCATGTTGTTTGGCATTTCCATTGCTCTGGAAGAGTATCAATGCAAGGAAACATGAGATAGTCAATGATCTTCCTAGAGGGGATGATTTGATTGATGATCTGCCAGTCTATGGATGTGGAAAAACAATGAAGAAATCATCACAGACTTTCATCACATTATAATGTCTTGGCTAGAGATAGCTTGGCAGCTAAGCCTGAAGCCGAACAAGAAAAAAG